GCATTATTTATTCTTATTATTATATCCCTTAAAATTTTTGCTATTATTATTGCCATTTATGAGATAAACTATCGATTTGGAATAAGTAAATAGTATCATTTCTATTATTAATATACACTTTTATAAAAAATAAGATTAGATAATCATTTTTTGATTAACTTATGTAATCCATTACTATTTTATAATTTCCAAAAATAAAATCAACAGATTATATTATTCTCTTATAGTTCAGTCATTGGGGATTTTTGCTTGGAAAAAAGTCCGGAAGTTTTGCAACTTTGCAAGTTTATAGGTTTTGGGGTCCCTAACTAAAATCCATAAAATGCACATTTCCAGACTTGCCGCCGGCGCCGCCATCTTGCCAAGATGGCGCCCAAAATCGGTATTTTGTGGATATCTCGAAAACTATGCGTTTTTCGAAAATTTGGAGAGAACAAAATTAAAGAGAATGAAATTTCCTATAAAAAAAGTTTTATGAAAATTTTCGCTAAAGCCAACCTTTTAGGCACAAAATCCCTGGAAATTTTACAATTTTGCGTAATATGATATACTCGTATTTTTATGTATAGGTATATAGTCGATTTTCCGAAATCAAATGTCGATTAGGGTTCATTAAAACTAGTTTTAGTTTAGTTTCTTCAATTTTGTCATGAAACAGTGGCGTATCATTAATTCGCTCATTAATATAATTTATGAATAATTAATCACTAATTGACATTTGATTTCGGAAAATCAACTATATGTATATCATACTTTACGCAAAATTGTAAAATTTCCAGTGATTTTGTGTCTAAACAGTTGACTTCAGCGAAAATTTTCGTATAACCTTTTTTATAGGAAATTTTTGCGAAAAACGCATAGTTTTCGAGATATTTACAACATCCTAATTAGTATAGAGCCGGTCGACTTATACGATCATATTCATCTAATTATTCGCTTTTAAATGTATAAAAAGTAATACTTTGTAAGTAAGTAATTAGGGTAATTGCTTACAGATCTACCAACAATCGGTGAACTCGTTAAGTTTGACACTTAATGTCGGTTTAATATAGAAGAAAAATCACCGATTTTTGCCCTACTGGTTAACATGTGTTAAAAAAAAAGTTTGAAATTTTGAGTTGTTTGATCCTTCTTTTTTGAAAATAACATATTTTTGTTCTTTTGTGCTTAGGCATAGAAGTGCTTTACTTTTATGCCTAGGTGTAAAAGAAGTTTGTATTTTCCTAAGTAACAAAAACGACCCTTTTATACTGTCATCTACTACTGCCATTACTCACTGACGGGTATTCGACACGCATCAGAAGATGGCCACGCAAGGCGTTTTCTTTCATGAGCTTCTCTGGGACTAAAAAGCCCGATACGTGATGTTATTTGCCAACGGTACTCCGGACATTCAAAAATCTCAACGCTTTGTTGCCTCAGGTTGCCTCTCTACTTTTTGGTTGTCGCTGTTAACTGAGTTTACAATTCTTCTCCATTGAGTTCTATTATGAACTGCTTCTTCCCACCGATTCTGCATGTTAATCCCCTTTAAGTTTTCGTGGAAAATGCTCACCGTAAAGCAGATATTTTGGTATGCGGTTTTCTTGTATTCTGCATACGTGACCAGCCCATCTTAAGCGGGATTTTGTAACCGTGACTCCAATACTCTCGCAGTTAGCTTTTTCAAGGACCGATACGTTTGAGACATGATGGAACCACCGGCTTCTTAAGACTTGTCTAAGGTGTCTCTGTTGCAACTTGTTTAATGCGTTTTTGTGTCGGCGGTACAACCCAGGTGTAGCTCCCATATATCATAGTGGGGATTATAATTGCTCGGTACACTGCAAGTTTCGTTTCTGTACTGAAGTCATGATTATAGTTAAACCCTGTCTTTTAATTTCCAGAATGCTCTTGAAGCGCTGCTAATCATGTGCTGAATTTTACAGTCAATATTGGCCTTTTCCGAAATCAAACTGCCGAGGTAATTAAATTCCGCTACATATTCCAATAGTTCATCTCCAATTTTTATAGCACCGTTATGATCTTCCGGGGGAGTGCACATGATTTTGGTTTTGCCGATGTTTAGCTTAAGGCCCAAAGCCTCGTATGCCCAGGTATATGTGTTCAACATTTCGTGTAATTGTTGTAACGTGTTTGCAACTAGAGCGCAGTTATCAGCGTATTGAAATTCTATGATGAATTTTGTACGTGTTTTTGCCCAGAGTCTTTTTATGTTGTTTTTAACAGACCGCCGCGCGCCGTCATATCTGTATCTAATGCCCAATCCTTTCTCTTGTAGTTTGCTGTCCATTAATGTCCACTTAATCCCATAATGTCCACTTGAATAGTAGAGGCGCTAAGACAAATCCGTGCCTAACTCTTGTATTTGCCAGGAAGCGATCGCTCAATGATCCATGATGTGACACTCCTGACTGGTTGTTGTTATGGAAGCTTTTACACACTGTAAGAAATTTGTTGGGTACTCCGAACTTTTTCATAATTGCAAACCAGTCTGGTTGTTTCCTTTTGTTCGACTTTCCCAGTACTGCTTCGCTGGTTTTAAGAATCGCATCCCTTAATTGTGTCCAATTACTGTCATCACATACTATCTGTCATCACACCTGTGTACAGTCATCACAAAAATTAATATTTTTGTGACGTTTCAAAAAAATAAAACACTGATTTATTAGGAGTAAAAATGAAAAATTTTGGAGTGAGGCTGCACGTTACAGGCAAGGCACAGAAAGTACATTTTTACTCCGAATAGAATATGCTATTTTTTCATTCACCACAATTTTTTTTTAAAACGTCATAATTAATTTTTGCAAACGCAATTGACAATATAAAAATAGTTATTTTTGTATCTAGTGCGCGAAGTGCTACTTTGGTGATCGATACTTGAATTTTTTAACGAGGCGTAGTCGAGTTGAAAAATTAATCGAGATCACCAAAGTAGTTCGCGCACGAGTTGCAAACAACATTTTTTCTACAAACATTAAAATCGGGATATCCCTAAAAATAATATTATTATATTATTGCTTCGAAAAAAAAGCGTGAGCTTGGCTTAATTTCGAATTAACATGTCACTGTAACTATTAGTTGCCGCGGTTAATCCAATCATTCGGCAAATTGGTCTAAAAGCATGAAATTTGGTACACACGTATTTTAGGTGATTCTAAGATTTTTGACCCGGAGGGCAAGGCCATTATTTGAGTTTGATTCAAAATGGCACCTTATTTTCAAAATGGCCGATTAACAATTTGTAATTGTTAGTTATTAACAGATTTTAGCATAATATATGTCGATTTCGACAATTTTTCTGGCGAGCAATTCATTAAAACAACTCTTTTTTGAGTGCGATGCTAATTTATATGATAAATTTGTATACCGTGTGGTTAAAAGCGTATACGTATACGTCCCCCAAGTAGCATTTGGACGTTATCTAACGTCGGGTATACGTCGCGTTCAATAAACCCGACGTCGGGTACCAACGTCGGTTCGACCGCCTGACGACCCTTATTTGCACCTAAATGGGGAATACAGATTCGGGTAGCCTCGACGTCGGTATCTGACCTAATAGGAAATGTAATTCTACCAATTACCAACGTCATATTACGTTGGATTTTAGTCACTTAAAATTCGTCGCTAAGCACTTACGTTACGTTTGGTTTCATATTCGCTACCAAGAATACATAAAAACCTTACCAAACTACCTAATTACAAATGGATTCATAATCACTCCTCGAATAGACCTATAAGTGCCTATCTAATTTCATATTATAATAATTTTGAATCATTAATCCAGACATCAGTTTTGTCAACGGAAGTCACTTTTTTGATATATCTGATTAAAATACTCCGGAAAACAACGAGCGCCTTCAAAAGTAGGTAGATTTATGAAATAAAAATATCTATAAAAAAGTAACTCGCAAAATATGTTTTTTATTTTCTAGCTGGTTTAATCAATAAACTGTACTGTGGTTCCCCCCAAACTCAACCTTATCAATATTATTCTACTAGAAATCGGAATGTGAATATAAATTTTAAAAACAAAAAACGATTTTAAAATGGCTGACAATCGGATACCTGTTAAGAATGGCGGATTTCTGTGTCTGACTTAATATGAACTACCAATATACCAATTCCGACCGGGTCTCCAACATTAGTCGTCTCACACGACCGAAGTCATCAAACCGGACGACCGGCAATCGTATTATGACGTATATAATTCCAACGTACGCCACGTAACCTCACTTTGCGTATCAGTGATTTGTGGATTTGTGCAACTATATATTTTAGTTTTTGTTTTCTCTATAAAACAATGGGCAGCCACTTTTTTAAGATAGTATATACAAAATTTAAAAGAATTGGAACCAGTACCTCACATGTGGGAGGAGGATGGGGTCTGCTGGTTTCCTAAGCTAAAAAATGAAATTAAGCTGCACCAGTGTAATGCAGCATCTCTTCCGGATAAAAAGCATTCGTGGGCGGAGGGAAGACCTCACTACTACTATTATTATTTTGCAAAAGCCTCGACCTCTTTCTGTAAAATGTAGATGAATGTCTAAATGTCTTTTTAGTGTTTTTTTAGGTATAATAAAAAAAAAAGTTTTTTACAAAAACTTTTTATTAGTTTATGTTCATGATGTTTATTAGGCCGCATATGCTACTTAATGGGTTGTATTTACGGACGTAAATAGAGATACGTAAATTAGGTTAAAAATATGAACATAAAATACAACAAAATATAATTGGACTTTACTTTAGGGATTATCAGTGAGACGTATCCTATTCGGACAACGGGTAGACGTCGGGCTAGTTCACGTATAGGTACGTCGTGCAAGTCAACGTTGGAACGACGTTGGGAAATTAATAAAAATGGTACGTTGTTATTTTGTACGTCGATAGATCGTTGGATTTACCGACTCGGATCTAACGACGTCACTTTTAATAGGAAAGCGACGTCACCAGTCGTATCACCAGCACCCGACCTAAATTTGCACAAAGTCTGACGTCGCTTCAGGTCAGATTTAGTTCGAAGTCAGATAGATGCTACTTGGGCCAATATAGAAATTTCGCTTCCCATGAGCTTATTCCAGTAAATTTTCTTCATATGCACTAAAAAGAATAAATTATACTTATTTATACAAGTATCCTTACACTTGCACTGTAATGTGCAAGTCAATCCTACGCGCCGGCGCCGCACAGTGCTTCGAACATATGGCTCTACAGGGAGTTAGGAGGACAAAAATCCAAAACTTCTCTTTTATTGTAAGCAATTTATTCAAACTAGGTTTATTTGACACAAATGATGAGTACTCTCATTGTACTAAATGATGATGTTCTTAGTCCCACGTTTATGAAAAAAAAATCTTATAAATAATAATAATGTTGGAGCTGTGTTCCATCCAAGCAAATAATAAGTTATAGTATGAAAAACGGTGTAAATATTAAATAAATTCCTGTGATAAAAAAGAATTGAAATAACATTAGAACATGATTCCTACAATATAAGCCTAATATAAGATAAAAATGTTTTTCTTTAATGAAAAAGAAACATTAATGTTATATTTAATTAAAAAAAAAACTTAAGATACTATAAATTTACTTTCGGACAACAAAATGCATAGATCGTAACTACTCTGATTCAGGAGAATCACTGCTGACAGAATCTTCCAAATTTATAGTATCCAAATCGCGCGGGCGAACTTTCGACACCAAATTGTGTTTGTACCTGGGGTAATCGAGGGGTCAAATTTTATTATAGGAAATTTCGACACCGCGCCCTAAAGCAGGTAGGTAGGTAATTAATTGGGTTTCCCCAATATTTATTGTCACTTCTGTACTTGTGACTAAATTTACACGAAAATTATTCAGTTGCAGTTTATTGTTTGACGTTGACTAGTGCACTTATAGATATTTTAAACATGAGTTTGATAAAAGTTCCCGTGGTCGAGATTTATTAGTGGTGGAGAATCATTCGTTCTCAAAACAGAAAGTGTTAAAAAGCGGCGAGATATTTTGGCGCTGCATTCAAAGAAACACTAAGTGTTCCTGCAAAGTGTTTACAATGAGCTGTAATGACCTCACCATCACAAGACGTGATTTGGTACATAATCATGAAGCCGATCCAGAAAAGCTTCAAGTAAAGATGGTTACCAATGCATGTAAAGAAAAAGCCGAAGAGGGATATATCAGAGAAGTCTGCCAAAATTACAAGAACTGCTGTTACTGAGTGTGATCATAGCTTGCATAAGAAAAACATTTACAACTGTCGTCGTAAACTGTTACCAGGTCCGTTACCTAGAAGCATATCAGAAGTTCATAACGCGGTTAGTAATTATTCTCCTAAAACCTGTCGCAATGAAAGTTTTTGTTTTTAAATCATCCTGAATTTAATGTAATTGTATTTTCATGCGAGACAAATATTCGTTTGTTGTGTAAACTACAAACTTTGTATATGGATGGTACATTTTCATACAGTACCAAATTTTTTCTCAATTATTTACAATACATGGCTTTGAAAATGGACATTATGTACCTTTAGCATACTGTTTGTTAAAGGACAAATTGTCAATGACATACAAACATTTATTTTCTTTATTAAAGTCAAAGATTTTTGAAACATTTGAGTTATCATTATTTAGAATAACTGAAATATTTGTGGACTTTGAAAAGCAATTCACTGTGCTTTATTGTCTATGTATTGAAATGTAAAATTAGTGGATGCCGTTTCACTTACATCAGAACTGGTTTAAAAATTCAATCTTTGGGTTTGGTACAAGAATATAAGGATACAAATTCAGAAATTGGAAAATGGTTAAGACATACGTTTGGTTTAACTTATTTAAATCCAGTAGATGTTGAAGATTGCTTTGTTTATGATCTTATGTCATATAAATAAAAATGCGTCACTTGATTTATATACAGACTATTTACTGGAAAATTACATAATCGATAGCGCTCTATTTCCACCGCACATATGGTCTAATCAGAATCCGTCTATTGCGAGGGACTACGAATGCCTGTGAATCCTTTCATTCAAGATTTAATACTTCTTTTTATTCAACGCATCCTTCTATTTTTATTTTTATTGAAAAGTTAAAAAGAATTTCAAGTAGAGACTTATGTCAAAATAAATAGTTTAAAATACCAGCAAAAAGTCAAAGATAATACCGTTAAGGCTAAATTGGTATTTATGGAGAAAATGCAACAAATATGTAGGTTAGATTTTATAAAGCTATGTCTTACCATTCTGTATAATACCAAATAAATTGTATTGACATTCAGATATTATTTCTACCTGTTATTGTCATTCAGATATTATTAATTTTAAAAATATATCATGTACATTATTTTTATTAAAATAAAAAAAGCAATTATGATATTTTATTTCTATTTCGCAGCTATATTTATTGGGGCCGTTTCGACACTAAGCAGGTAGCGACTGGTTTAAAAAATTTTCGACACCAGCCCCAAGTTCCGTTTTTATCAAGAGGTATATTCGACACCAAATAAATATAGCTGCGAAATAAATAAAATATCATAATTAATTTATATATTTATTTTAATAAAAATAATGTTTATTTTATATTATGTAAATTAATAATATCTGAATATAATACTTCATTAATAATATCTGAATACAATACAATTTATTTGGTATTATAGGAATTACATAAGACATAGCTTTATATAAAATCTAACCTACATATTTGTTGGGATCAGTTTATCCACCATTTTCTCCATAAATACATTTAAGATTAACGGTATTATCTTTTGACTTTTGCTGGTATTCTTTTTTAACTATTTATTTTGACATTAAAGTCTCTACTTGAAATGTTTTTAACTTTTCAATAAAAATAAAAATAGAAGGATGCGTTGAATAAAAATTGGTATTAAATCTTGAATGAAAGGATTCACAGGCATTCGTAGTCCCTCGCAATAGTACGGATTCTTATTAGACTATATACCATGCGGTGGAAATAGAGCGCTATCGATTATGTATTTTCCAGTAAATAGTCTGCATATAAATCAAGTGACGCGTTTTAGGTTTATTTATATGACATAAGATCATAAACAAAGCAATCTTCAACATCTACTGGATTTAAATAAGTTAAACCAAACGTATGTCTTAACCTATTTTCCAATTTCTGAATTTGTATCCTTATATTCTTGTACCAAACCCAAAGATTGAATTTTTAAACCAGTTCTTGATGTAAGTGAAAACGGCATCCACTAATTTTACATTTGGCCAATAGACAATAAAGCACAGTGAATTGCTTTTTTCAAAGTCCACAAATATTTCAGTTGGCTCTAATGATAACTCAAATGTTTCAAAAAAATCTTTGACTTTAATAAAGAAAATAAATGTTTGTATGTCATTGACAATTTGTCCTTTAACAAACAGTATGCTAAAGGTACAAATGTCCATTTTCAAAGCCATGTATTGTAAATAATTGAGAAAAAATTTGGTACTGTAATGAAAATGTACCATCCATATACAAAGTTTGTAGTTTACACAACAAACGAATATTTGTCTCGCATGAAAATACAATTACATTAAATTCAGGATGATTTAAAAAAAAACTTCTCATTGCGACAGGTTTTAGCGGAGAATAATTACTAACCGCGTTATGAACTTCTGATATGCTTCTAGGTAACGGACCTGGTAACAGTTGTACGACGACAGTTGTAAATGTTTTTCTTATGCAAGCTATGTCAGGAACCGTTAGCAAATTGGCATCAATCGCGACAGCAGTTCTTGTAATTTTGCAGGCTTTTCTGATATATCCTCTTCGGCTTTTCTTTACATGCATTGGTAACCATCTTTACTTGAAGCTTTTCGGATCGGCTTCATGATTATGTACCAAATCACGTCTTGTGATGGTGAGGTCATTACAGCCTATTGTAAACACTTTTGCGGAACACTTAGTGTTTCTTTCTTTGAATGCAGCGCCAAAATATCTCGCCGCTTTTTAACACTTTCTGTTTTGAGAACGAATGATTCTCCACCAAAATAAATCTCGACCACGGGAACTTTTTATCAAACTCATGTTTAAAATATCTATAAGTGCACTAGTCAACGTCAAACAATAAACTGCAACTGAATAATTTTCGTAAATTTAGTCACAAGTACAGAAGTGACAATAAATATTGGGGAAACCCAATTAATTACCTACCTACCTGCTTTAGGGCGCGGTGTCGAAATTTCCTATAATAAAATTTGACCCCTCGATTACCCCAGGTACAAACACAATTTGGTGTCGAAAGTTCGCCCGCGCATTTATTTGGTGTCGAATATACCTGTCAGATAAAAACGGAACTTGGGGCTGGTGTCGAAAATTGCCATTAAATTTTAGTCGCTACCTGCTTAGTGTCGAAATTTCCTCCGCCCTCCAAATCACAGGTAGATGAAGTATCCTCACATATAAGATATTTCTGTACATCATTTTCTAATATGTTACTTTTTCGCGTTGTTACTGTACATTTTGTCGGTATGAGGGGTTCGGATGTTAATAGTTACCTCTTTAATAGACCATATCCATATATTATTTTTTCCTTTTCTTGGGTATGAGATTTTATAATAAATTGAAAGATGGACACTTTTTTTATGCGACGTTTCGCTCCAACATAGTGGACTTTTTCAGGCACAAGTGGTGTCTCATTTGACTGGAAGGTTCATCAATATCTAATAAGAACATATTTTTTGAAATACAAATAATTTTGAGTTCTTGTCCTTATGATCAAGCCAAGTATTAGCCAGATCGGCATTGCTTATCAATTTTACTCCATCTGAAAAGTATTATAAAATAAAGTTCGTCGCAAGCAGACGCAGGTGAACTATACAAAATTAAAAAGTGTATGAATATGGCAACAAAAATATGCAATAAATACGATATGTTTTGATATGTTTTTTTAAATGCCTTTTGAAGTTTGAAAACGTAAAATTTTTATACCCATTTAAGAATAATCTTAAAAATAAATAAAAACTAAACAATCACGAACTTGTTTAGAAATAAATTTAAAGTACATACCTTGTTTAACAATATCCATAGTTGCTTTCAATTAAGTACATACCCGTTTAACTCCATAATATACAGAACTACTATGAATGTTATTCTTTTCACTGATGAGATAATGATCTCAAAATTTATTTTTAGTGAAAATATTTGCTAACAAAAACGCTGTTTATGAAAAATAATATACAGGATGGTTGAACATTGCTATAAGTATAAAATTATATATTCAGATATTAGTAAATTTTAACTTATTTTTTGATTTTTGTCCATGGGACGAAGCACTGTGCGCCGGCACGGCATGAGCAACGTTGTGAAGCGCCTGATTTACATTCGCACCTTTCTAGCTCTCTGTAAGCTGTCCATATACATGAAAGTGTTGACCAAAGTGGCTTTATTGTGCTGCCTTCAACCCCAAGAATTTGGAGTCGGTGGGTCACACTGTAACATATCCAATGATCTGCCCCAAATGGGCCAGCTTGATATGCAGCACGAAGGCAATGTTGAAAAAGTGCTGCGGAGCTAGGAGGAATTAAGCGTCGCGGCTTACTTTCAGTGCAGAACAGGTGCTTTCGAAGCTGATCAACTTTGGAGATTCCTGTAGTTGCAGCATAGGTACATCTTTGATGTAAAGTCTTCAAGAAGTGCTTGAATGTGACTTGGAATGTGGTCATTCGGAAAAGACATAAAAGTAAATGCATCTGTTGCTGACTCACATGACATCCATGTTTTCCATCTTTTTTTCCTTTTCCAGTAAAGAAGGAGACACTGTCACAACCGGCAAAGGCATGAAAGCCTCGGAGGCCCATACACCTTTCTCTTCTTAGTTGGATAGCGTTTTGTAAGCTGCAATGTAATGTCGATTCTTTCCCGACCCAAATAAAATCCATAGTTCTTCTAAACCCATAGCCTGGAGCTCATAAAAAGTGTAAAAGTGATTTACTTTTATGCCTCGGCGTTAAAATGACCTTTTTTTATTGTCAATCACTTCACAAAAATCACAAAAAATAATACCTTTATGACGTTTGACAAAAAAAAAACGACTTAAGAATTAAAATGCCGGACACATCTATCACTGTCAAGGATTTTCTCGTTGGACAGAGTATACTTCAGCACTTCATGCATATATTAGTTTATTGCCCCTCATTTAACTACTTAAAACAAAGATTCCTGTTAGCCATTGTTCGCAAAAACTCATCAACCTGTTCGTGCTCCTCCTCAGCTATCAGAACCGAGGCATCGTTACTTTCCTACACAAACAATCATGAGAACGGTCGCATAAACAGAACAAACCTATAAATTTCATTAGTACTATACGCTTTCCTTCGAATGGGTTCGAGCTCAGAAAATTAAGTAAAACTAGAGGGTCCTCAAATACTTGTCGACGAAAGAAATTAGTGTATCTTCTTCAACTCGGCATGTTCTTTAATGTTGAAATTTACACAACGTTTCGATCAGATGAATCATTGACCGTCAAAATATTACATATATGTTTATACGCAGTTGCCCCACCCTAGCTGACTACCTCATGCTCATCCTTAATTTATTGTAGTTTATATCTATAATCAACTGAACCAAAAATTTTAATACAAAAAGAGGGTTTCTATAAAGGCTTTTGGAAAGTCCGGACAAAATCCGGACGTCGCAAAAAAGAAACTATACATTTATTTATCTACAACCGTTTAGTTATAACGTTTTTATATCACTATTTTTTAGTATTTCCTATACTCCGCCTCTATCTATACTTATATCTCTGAGGTTTTGCGCTATCTCACGATTCCACCCACCGCGGAACCTGCACAAAGTCGTACGCGCATTCTTTTGGTACCGCCGCGGCTCGTAATTAGGACTAAGCGCTTGTATCTTTTCGAATTTCTCAACGAAATGGCAATGTACAGGGTGGCCCACTAAGAATAGCTCTCGGCTGTATATCGGAAAGTATTATCCGTAGGAGATCTCGGTCGGACCTTAGTGGTGATTACCTTCTCCCCTCCCATACAATCTACAATCTAATACTAAAATTATAAAAGAAATTGAAGCTATTCATAAAAGTTACGTACTAAAATCATAATCAAAATGTTTCTCCGATCTGTTCCACTTATTATATGCTATTTGATGATCAACCAATTTGATTATTACATAAAAACCGCTTTTAACAATGCGCAATTGACTAGCCCGTAACAACCTCAACTTTCTTTTTCATTTTTAATAAAGCTTATTCCCAGGAAGTTACGTTTCTTAAACGAAAAATTAGCATATTAAATTTGAGCAGATTATTTGTTTTGTTGTAGTACAGTGGAGTGGAACAGAATTATTGTAGACTATTTTTTTCATTCTTGTGTCGGGATATTATTAATACTATTTTAAATCCTACTTAAGGCAAAATATTGAATTTCTTAAAGGCAAAATACATATACAGGGTAGTCCGAACTGTATTCCGGAAACTTCGGCCAGCGTATTCTCCAGATAAAACTAAGTAAAAATGTTCGTATAAATGTATGGCCTAAAATGTTTAGTTTCAGAGATACTGGGTGTAGGAGTTTCATTTTTATTTCGTTTTTTTTTCAAATAATTTAAAAAGTCAGTATTTGGATAAAAATTGGTGTCTGGGAATTTTTTTAACATGAGAAATTTGATTTGATGTCAATATGACTCCTATTTGTAGTGGGCGCCACCCATATGTGTTTTAACTGTTTTGAAGAGTAATAACTTTTTGTCCTTACCTGTATAAAACTACTGAGTAAAAAATTATACATTTACGACCTTTTTTACGTAAAAAAGGTTTCTTGGTTAAAATCACTACCGAGTAATGGTTCTCGAGATATTTGGAATAGAAATTATCAACACCTATCATCACTGACATAAATTAAACATGTTGACTAAATAGTTATTAGACTGAAATCATAAATTTGAAATGTTTTTGTGCCAAAAGTTCAACAGAAACTGTTTTATCATTTTTTTTTTCACAGAAAAATTTGTGATTAAATTAAAAAAAAATTAAAAATTTCCCACAAATTTATTATTTCAGTCAAATAACTATCTACTTGTTTGTTATTATTTGTCAATAATGACATGTATTGACTATCTCCATTCTAAATATCTTGAAAACGGTTGATCGTAGCGATTTTTACCAAGAGATATTTTTTACGTAAAAAGTCACGGAAATATATAGTTTTTACTCAGTAGTTTTTTTTTCTTTCCGAAAAAAAGGAAATAAATACCTATTGCAAGATTTTCAGAATTAGCCTTTAAATTTTGTATTTAAAAGGAGCATCACATTGTACCTAACAAGAATAAAAAAAAAACATTATAAGGTACATTAGCCAACCTAACACCTAAAACTAGGTAATATAAATTATTATAAATTATTAACAAAACAAAATTCGTAATAAATACATAGACATAATCCTGAGAAACAAAATTCCTAACATGGACAACACTAAAACTTTTTTCGGCACTCTGAAATAAAATCGTCGATGTTAGACTGTTCACTATTTCGTGCGCAATAGATAATAAAGATAGTCCGCTTAATCATTCTTGTGTCATACTCGATCTTAGGTAATTCTCAATTATTTTGAGTTTAGAAAAACTGCTCTCTCCGGTTGCCGCTGAAACCAGCAGCGTTAGTAAATATTTAGAAAGTTTTCAATCAGATCGTAAATTTTTAAATATTTTAGTGTTTGTTTTGGACAACTGAAGTTTTCAGCATTATCTGGTGGTATTAGAACAATTAGAGCTAAAATCTCGTCCCGAAGCTCTAGGCCATTAATATAATGTTTGTCTCCGTCCGTTAAATAGAGATGAAGATCCATACTGTTACGTTTTTCGTCGGTTCCGTGTGGATAGAAAGTCACAATTTATTTAAACACTATTTATTTAACACTAATGAACAAAAATAATAACGATAAAAGACTTATAGAACTATTTACAAACGATTTATAACTAAGAATTTATTTTGAATTTTAGCGCGTCAACTGTATATTTATAACTGCCCTCTCTAGGCCACTGCCGCCGGCTTTTATACCGACAGGTAAAAGAAATCTAGAATAGTCCAAAGATCGTTAGGCGCATATAGAAGGTTTTCGAATGTTCTCGTATGTACGCGTCCATTCTAGTGGGTCTCGATTCTTTTCGAACGAATGAGTCATTGCGGTGTCTATGCGATGTTAAGGTCATCCGAGGGCGGGCCATATGTGTGAGGTTAGGTCGAGTCCACACCGGCTCGCAACACTGCCCCCTTCTTAGGCACATGCTCGTCCCGAGATGTATACGGTGAATGAAGGTATTTGCAAAGCTGGCCCCTGGTACATTGCGAAGTCTGGTAGAAATAGCAGTCTACAGTTTTCTCTCCCGATCTCAGCTTTGGGTTGTAGCAGCAAACGAGGATCTCGATTCCCGTAAATCTGAACAAGACTTCAATCATGTTCCGGATTGTACGCCAACTCAAACCATCGAGTCCACACGCCAGCTTCGGAATGGCTAATCGTGCAATGTTGTTGTTTAGCAGGGCTTCTCTCAGTTCAATCAGGGTCTTCCATAGATTGAGATAAGTCGGCTTACTCGGGGACCATTCCTTGGTGACCAGGTAGAAGATGTGCCTTGCTTGACCATGTGCATTGTCGGTTAGCCTCAAGACGCTTCCAACCTCTGGATCCTGTCGGCGTAGTTCTCCGACACGCCCAAACTTCTCATTGAACGTCGCAGCGATTCCTCTGGACATCCGCAAATCTCGAGCCACACAATGAGCGAGCGAATAATCAGGAGGCACGGAAAAGAGGTCTCGTTGATCTTCTTTGGTTACACCATAGCGAGCCTTCTCACTGCTGTTGTATCGGGCCATGAAATCGTCAAAGGACATCTCCGAATCAGGGGGATCAAAGCTGCAGGTTCTCACGGTCCCAGCACGATCTTCTATTTCGCCTTGGTAGGGGCTCAAACGGTTGAAATGGACTACCCTCGGTTTTCCTTTTGGCAATTTTCTGATACGGTATACGACGTCATTAATTCTATCCATGACTTCGTATGGCCCTTCCCACGAGGATTGTAGCTTCGGAGATAACCCACGACGTCTCTGCGGGTTATATAGCCACACCAACTTCCCTGGTTGGTATCCTCCATGCTCAGCTTGAATGTCGTAGTGTTCCTTCATTCGGTCACTAGCACTTTGAATATTTAGGCGGACTCTCTGATGAATGTCGTCCATCCTTTGACGTAGTGTGTGGACATAATCTTCTCCGGCGACTTCTTCTCCCGGTCGGCAACCAAATTTCAGATCACAGGGTAGGCGCACTTCCCGTCCCATAACGATGCTGGCTGGAGTTTGCCCTGTAGATTCTTGGACGGATGAACGGTAGGCCAACAGGAACAGGTGAAGAAATTTGTCCCAGTCTCTTTGGTGGTCAGAGACTACTTTGGCCAGATAACGGTTGATAGTTCTGTTCATGCGTTCAACCATCCCATCGGATTGTGGATGTAGAGCAGTCGTCCTGGTCTTGCGGATGTTCAGGACTTCACAGACGCCTTGGAACAGATTGGACTCAAAGTTTCTTCCCTGATCTGAATGAAGCTCCATGGGAACACCAAACCTGCAGATCCATTCTTTAACAAGGGCATCAGCAATCGTGGACGCTTCTTGATTTGGCAACGCGTAGGCCTCGACCCATTTGCTGAAGTAATCCATTACTACCACAATGTATTTGTTGCCATCGTTCGTCTCCGGGAAAGGACCAGCCACGTCGATCGCTATTCGTTCGAAGGGACTACCAACATTGTACTGGCGCATAGGGGCTTTACCACGCTTTTGTGGCCCATTAATGGCTGCGCAAATGTCACATTTCTTACACCAGGCCCTCACATCTTCTTTGCAGTTCACCCAGTAGAACCGTTCACGCAGCTTGCCAAGTGTCTTGGTAACACCAAGATGTCTCCGCTGGTTCCATTGTGAACTTCTTCCAAGACTTCTGGGACCCTCTTCTTTGGAATGACGACCTGCCTTCTCTC